CTGATATATTGACCTCTCATACATGGTATAGAAATAAGACCTTGTAATATACACTCATGTTACTTTTGAATATGTGAAAATTCTCAAATGAATTCAGCAATTATGCAAAATCCACAATGTTCTATTATAATCACAGCCTATAATTTATTCACCAATGTATTCTGTTTTTCACTAAACCATTCCAATTTTTCTTCCAATTTCTCTACAATTTTAACTTTAGTAGACAATCTCATATGACATTGTGAGCAGACTGGCTGTTATAAACATCTGGAGAGGAACTATGTTCTGACTGAAGAAAGGAACTACAAAAACAGCTACCTGCATGTCAGCATAAAAGAAGTGTTCACAATTCTCTCAGCTACTCCCTTTTGTTCCTCCACCCTCTGAATGGGTTCAGAGCAATAGAAGAGGGCCGTGTCTAACTTCAGTTTTTGTCAAAACTCTTGAAAAATGAAGATGGTTCTACTGCCTGGAACAGAGGGCCCAACAAATAGGACTTTCATCATAACAATTTTCCATTTGGCCCATTCATGCAGCCATCTCTTAACATGATTCATGATGGTATTTAGGAACGATACAGTACTAAATGCTGAACATCCAATTGCCAACAATATTATCAATTAAGGGCCAACTTAGCACCTGAATTAGAAATTGAAGTGAAAATGTAGAAAATGCTTCATTAAAACTGTCAAGTATATGTATTTTTGCCCTAAAACATAAGAGTTAAATTAAGGTCCAAGGTAGGCAGGTAACTACAGTTGTAAGTTGATGTGTGCAAGGTCCAGAAGTCAGCATTTCGCAGCTCTCCTCCCCATCAGCTGGCTCTTAATCTTCTCTGTCTCTCTTCCATGTAGTTTTCCGAGACAATGGCACAGGAAGACTTTAAGCAGACCAGCTGGAATGAGACTTTGCAGACTGTTTGGCAGTAGAATTGTTAAATAACAGGTCTTTGTACAAAGTGCCTCTGCTGTGGGGTTTAGGGGTGTGGTGTGTCATGGGATATAACATCTAAGCTACCTAACTGAAGCAGCAGGACCCTATGGGAGAGTGTATCAGTCAACTTTTCATTAGTTTAACAAAATACTAAGGCCTACTTATAAAGTTTATTTGACTCATAGTTTGAGTGTTTGAAATACATGGTGCCTGCATCAGCTCAGCTCTGATGAAGGCCCTCTTAGCTGTATCACATCATGGCAGAGGGCAATGGTGGGTATAGGTGTAGACACAAGCAATTTAGCAAGCTAACAGAAAGCTAGGGAGCTGGGAGGGAAAGACAGGGTTTTTTGATGATCCTCTTGTGGGATCGGCAAGGGGTCATGTGAGAAATATAGTACTCCCCAAAACAGTACCCCATGACCCAAGGACCTCCCAATTCACTCTCTCCAAAGTCCCACCACCTCAACAATATACTGCACCAAGTTCCAACACAAGAAAGTTTGGGTGAAACAATCCACATCTAAATCCTAGTAGAGAGGACAAAGAATGTTGAGCCTGATCACAACAGAATTATTTCGGGTCCATTTCTACTTAATCCCTCTACAAGTTGTAGCTGCTCTCCTAATGTGTATCTCCACAGATTAATTTTTTCTACTGTGGAATTTCATACAAGTGGAATCAGGAATGAAGAGAAGCTACTCATTGTACTTGTTTTTTAAATTTTATTCTTTAAATGTTTCATTTATACAATGTATATTGATTATATCCATCTACCACTACCTCCAATTCTCCCTATCCCACCTCCCAACTCCATGTCCTCATTTTATTTTTTGTTACTAATAACCTCTTAAGTCTTAATTCGTGCTGCCCATGTGCTCATGGGTTTGTGGCAATCTGCAGGGGCATGAGCAACTTACCAGCAGCCATATTCACAAGGAAGAATGACTACCCCTGCCTCAGCAGTCATCAGTTGCCAGTAGCTCCTCCCACAAGGGTGGGGCCTCAGGACCCCCTTCCCAGTGCATGCTGGAATCTGTACTAGCTTGATCCCTGCAGGTCTTAGGCAGGTTACTACAGCTGTTGTAAGCTATGCCGGTTGTCCAGGAGCCAGCATTTCACAGCTCTCCTCCCCATCAGCTGGTTCTTACATCTTTTCTGCCCCTCTTCCAGGAAGTTTTCTGAGACTTGGATAGATGATTCATCCACAGCTGAGCCATCATTGTTACTTATACTTGACACCTTGAGCAGTTACAAGCCTCTGTATTAATCAATACCCACTGCAAAAAGAAGCTTCTCTGACTAGTTTGAAAGCGGCACAAATCTATAGGTATAAACATAAAGATTTAAAATGCAGTTTGCCAGCATGACCATTTAGCAAAACAAAACAGTAGGTTTCCCTCCTACAGCCTATAACCTCCTCAGCCATAGGCTTTTGACCAGGTTTGTAGTACCAGACATGAAATCTCTCCTGTGGAATGGGCCTAATCAGGAAGTGGTTGGTTACTCCCATAAGCATCATGACCCTATTACACCAGTTAGTGCATCTTGCAAGCAGGTCAATATTGTAGCATGCAGGGTCTAGCACTAAGTTAAACCATTGATGTTTTTTCTTTATTTCTACATCAGCCTTCTGGCACTGTGTGAGCTAGTCATCAGGAAGAGAGTTCCCTGGTCAGTTCAAGGTTGATTTCTCTGTCTTACACCCAAAGTGAGCAGTGTCTTTAGCAATAAGCTCTTCCCGTCTAGCTATATTGGATAGTCAAGAGCAATAACAATAGCCTGTGTTGTTTGGGTGCTTCTGGGCTTCCCTGACCAATAACTCATAGGGAGGAATCCCACATCTGCCAGTGATATTTTTCATTTAATAACTCATCGAAGAGGGCATCAGATTCCCCTGGAACTGGAGTTACAGATGGTTGTTAGCCACCATGTGGGTGCTGGGAATCAAACCCAAGTGCTATGCAAGAGAAGTCAATGCTCTTAACTGTTGAGCTATCGCTCCAGTCCCCAAACTCCATTTTTTTATAAAGTGGGTTTTTTGTTTTTGGTTTTGTTTTGCGACAGAGTCTCACTATCTATCCCTGGCTTGTCTGGAACTCCCAATGCAGACCAGGCTTGTCTGGAACTCATAGATATCTGCCTGCTTGTGCCTCCTGGGTGCTGGGATTAAAGGTGTGCACCAAAACTTCCAGCATGAAGCTTTTTTTTTAAAGCTAGTTTTAAAACTAGTGGATTTTTATAAGGTTTCTTCATGTAATCTCAGTTTTGGCTAATAAACCCCTGCCTCCTTTTCACAATCCTCTTATGTCTGCTTAAATGTTTAACCCAACTGTCCCTTCTCTCCTGTCATTTCACTTGTGTTTTATTACCTCTATAAGTTTTTTCTTGAGTTGGAATATCATAGGTTCCATATAGCTTTTTCATGCACCCTTCAGTTTGATTAAACTTCTTGCCAACACCTCATTTTCCCACCTTTCACCCCCGAGAATACTTCTGTCCCTAATATTCCTTCTTGTACTAATTACTTTTTCCTGTTGCTGTGATAAAACACCATGACTGAGGGAGACATGGTGTGTTGGATAGCTTTAGTGTCAACTTGACACACCTGGGTTGAGGGAGCCTCAATCGGGGAATTGCCTCTATTGGACTGGCCTGTGGCCATGTCTGAAGGGCATCTTCTTGATGAGTGATGTGGGAGGGCCCAGCCCACGATGGGTGGTGCCACCCCTGGGCAGGTGGGCCTGTGCTGCATAAGAAAGCAGGCTGAGCAGGGGCCAAGGGAGCAAGCCTGTAAGCAGCGTTCCTCCACAGCGTTCCTCTGTGGCCTGTGCTCCAGCTTCTGCCTCCAAGTTCCTGCCCTGAGTTCCTACCTTGGGCTCCCTGATGAACTGCGTGTGACCTGGGAGATGTAAGACAAATAAACCCTTTCCTCCCCAAGTTGGTACTGGTCAGAGTGTTTTGTCACAGCAATGAAGAACAAACTAAGGTGGCCAAAGCAGGAGCAGAAAATAAGCACTCACATCTTCAAGCAGGCACAGGAAGCAGAGAGCAACTGGAAATCTGGCAAGGCTTAAGAACCCTCAAAACCCACCCCCAGTGACCTGCTTCCTCTAGCAAGGCCACAACTTCTAAGACTTCCCCAAACAGCACTACCAACTGGGGACAAAATGTCCAAATACTTGGAGCCTATGGGGATTTTCTCATTCAAGCCACCACATCTTTCTACTTCTAGCCTTCCAGTATTTCATAATTCTATCTCCCTTAAGGTGCCCACTCTAATGGCCGGTCTCTAGTTTCCTGGCTTCCACATATACTCCAGGTTAAATGTGCAAAAGATTCAAAGCGAAGATCCACATGTAAGAGAGAGCATGTGATGTTTGTCTTTCTGGGCTGGGGTGACCTAACAATATAATTTTTTCCAGTTCTACACATTTGCCTCCAAATTTCATCATTTCATTTTTCCTTCCAGCTGAGTAACATTCCATTGTGTATATGCAGCACATATTTTCCTTATCCACTCATCAGTTGATGGACTTCTTGGTTAATTCTATTTCCTAGCTATTGTCAATTGAGCCACACTCAACAAAGATGTATGACTATCTTTGTAGTAGGATATACAGTCCTTTGGATATGCCCAGAAGTGATATAGCTGGGTTATATGGCAGTTCTAGTTTTCTAGAAACCTTCAGATAGATTTCCACA